CTGTCTTACCTTATGTATTCTCTTTCCTGTCTCTCTTCCTTTCCTTCTGTTTTATAAGAATCTGTTTTCACCAGCCAAGACTGCATCTTTTGTAACACTGCTGTGAGACCATGACCAGCTAGGCAGCTAAAAGCAATGTATGGATGCTGGATGCTGGTACAAGTTTGCCAGGTTTTGGAGGGGCTGATAAGACCGTGTGCTGAGCCCACATTCCTTTAGCAATGAGGTTGCAGGTGAAAGTCAGCACTAGAGACAGAAGCTGAATTTTCTATCTTTGCTGTTCTCTTCTCTTCTCTTCCCTTTGGTACATGTTTGACTTATTTTGTCTTCAAGGAAATGAGACTGTACCTTTAACAACACCAGGCCCAGGCCATCTCAACTTCTTTTTGTTTCACCAAAAAAGGCTAGTTATTACCATCATTAATACCATCTAAAAGACTGTCAGACTGAAGGATTTCCAGATAAAACTCTAAAGGGAAATGGAATGAGGGATATAGTTAAAATCCTTAATTAATACATTACATTTCAAATGCTTTAACTGTTTTTTTTTTCTTTTCTGTATGTTTAATAAAAAGTTTAAAAGATTTTGAATGATGTGTTTGTCATGGAACTAAGCAGTGTCTGTACCCAAGCCCCTGAATCATGTTCAACTGTTTAGTGTTGTCCAGTGACAAGCTCATATTAACATCTTTTACTCTCTGAGCCCATTTATTCCATTGAATTTGACGCAATAGGTCCCAATGAGCTTTGGGTCCCATTGACTTCAATGAGCTTTGGATCAGGACATTAATCTGGATTTACCATTGAGAGAAAGTCAAGCTTAAACCATTTTTTTGGGGTGGGCGTGGTGTATGGAAAGCTAACACAGAAGATGGGCATAGTTTTGCTACTGTGTATCTGGCTTTTAATTCTGTCTGAGGACTGGAGAGGAAGAAGGGAATGCATCAGAAAGAAGTGAAGTTGCTAGAGGTTTGGAATCCCAGATATAGGCAAGTTAATTCCGGGGGGCTTCTCAAGAAAAATGTGAAGATGCTCTACAAGTATTTTAATGACACAATTCTGAAACCCTCTGCCTTTATTGTATTTTTTTAAAATAAGTCTTCCTCTGTGTCATTCTGGATCACACCTGTCAATTCCCAGTACCTGAACTGACATTTTTGAAGGCATCACTACATATCTGTGGCAAAAGTTGCACTTACTGGATTTTTTCTCTTTTCTCTTATTTTGTTGGTTTTCCTCTTCTTTGGTTTTTTATACTCCTCCATCACTTCTGACCTCATGTCCCCTGACACTGCCTGTCCCCCCTCTTCTTCTTTCTCTCTGTTCTTTCATCTCCTGATTTCCTTTCTTCTTTCCACACTCCCATTTTCAGCCTTCTCTATGACGGGTTTGCTCATAGAGACCCCCTTCGGACTGCCACCTGATGAGCTGAGACTACCTCTGAGCCCATTTTCTCTGCCAGTTTGGGCCTCCAGAACCCTGCTTTGTTGAGCCAGACACACCAGTCTGCTCCAACACAGACCCAGGGTCTGAACCACGCGCCCCAAAGCTGCAGACTTAACTGAAAACAGTGTAAGAAGTGCTCCTGTCTCCAGCACCCAGATACCCAGTTCCCAAATAAATCTGTTTTACTCTGTATAAAGCTTATACAGGATAAACTCATAAATTGTCCGCCCTCTATAACAATGATAGCAAGATATGCACAGCTGTTTGCTCCCCCAGCAATTGCTATAATTGCTAACTGGGTTAATTAATAAACAAAAGTGATTTTATTTAGTATAACAAGTAGGATTTAAGTGGTTCCAAGTTATAACAGACAGAACAAAGTAAGTTACCAAGCAAAATAAAACAAAAACATGCAAGTCTAAGCCTAATACATTAAGAAACTGATTACAGATAAATCTCACCCTCAGAGATGTTCCAATAAGCTTCTTTCACAGACAAGACTCCTTTCTAGTCTGGGCCCAATCCTTTCCCCTGGTACAGTCCTTGTTCCAACTCAGGTGGTAGCTAGGGGATTTCTCATGACTGCTGCCCCTTTGTTCTGTTCCACCCCCTTATATAGCTTTGGCACAGGACGGGAATCTTTTGTTTCTCTGGGTCTCCACCCCTCCTTCTAAATGGAAAAGCACCAGGTTTAAGATGGATTCCAGTACCAGATGACATGGTCACATGTCATGGGAAACCTAAGCCTTCATTCTTCCTGGCCTGAATCACACGAAGGCTTGCAAATAAACAGAGCTATTTACAACCAATTGTCCTAGTTGATGGGAGCCATCAAGATTCCAAACCACCATTAATGGCCCACACGTTGCATAATTAAAATAGGACCTCAGAGTTATATTTCATATTTCTAGTTTCAGATACAAGAATGATACATTTATACAAATTGGATGACCACACTCAGTAGAGTATAAGCTTTGTAATGATACTGTACAAGAGACCTTTTGCATGAAGCATACCCCAGTTACATCATATTCACCCTTATTAGCATATTTTCATAGAATCCTATGGAGTGCAACGTCACATCCTGAGTTTCTTTCGTCTTTCCACGCTCCCATTTTCAGCCTTCTGTAAACTATCATTTGTCTTTCACTTCATTCCAGCTTCCAATTTCCCCTTATTCCCCTCCGCTCCCAATCCTTAAATTCCATTGAAGAATTATTCTTTCTTGGTCATTTCTTGCCTCTCCATCAGTCTATCTCTGACTCACACAAAAAACTTGCTACATCACCTGCTCAATATTATGCATCTATATTGTGAAGGGGTGATCAGAATGGAGTGCTGTGTTTCAAGAGTGAAATCCTGGCCCTATTGAAGCCAATGGGAATTATGTAAGGATTTCATCCCAAATGAGAGCATACCTTGGATTTAGATAATAGCATAATACTGTTTCCAGTATTTTCTGTCATATTTATATGGCTACACATTTTGTTTGCTGTTTTTGACCAACACTACACAATGAACGTGTTTACATCAAGCTGTCGAGATGACCCGAGGTCTTTTCATGAAAGGTTACAATCTACTTTGCATTTGTCAGCACTGACTTTCTGCCATTGTGCTGCTCATTCACTTAGCTTTCTTAGGCTTTCTTAGTTTAACAGGAAGATTGAGAGCAAACATTAAGTAAAATCAGGTATTTGTGTGTGTGACTCCTGTTAGTGTGTGGTAAGTGGAGCTTTGGAGTGCTGGCTGGGATCGGGTATTCCAGCAGCATGTGTGGAGAAGGGTTCAAATGCATCATTGAAAACAAACAAAAATGCAATCAAAAGGAAACATATAAAAACAATATTGACTTAAGAAAAGTCTGAATTTGTCTTTTTAGTCTGGGAAATCTATGCAGGAGTTTAGCCTTCCTGGGGTTTGGCTTGCATTTGTTACTGTTATTGCTAAAATTTTTTCTAAAGCTCTCTAAAATGCAGAAAATCGTATCTGAAATTTCAAAAATGTCTGGGGGAAGAGTTCTAGGTTCTCCCATTTAAATATTGTTCTTCCCTATTGTCTTCCCACAGCTTCCCCATTCTTGTTTGCATAGCTGCACGCCTGAGTGCAGCCACTGAGTCTCTCAAAGTTTCCTGCTTCTAATACAGTGCGAGACTTTCTGGAGGAAAGATGATTTAGGGGTTACGGGTGCTAGTCCAGAACTTGGGTGACTCAGGTTAAATTCTCTGTCCGATTACAGACCACCTGTGTGAACTTGGGCAAGTCACTTAGCTTGTCTGGGCTTCAGTTCTTCATCTGTGAAATGGGGGAAATAGTTTTGGCCTACCTTGCAAGGATATTGTGAGGCTAAATATGTTAATGATTGCGAGATGCTTAGCTACTATGGGTATGTCTACACTACGGAATAAGGTCAAATTTATAGAAGTCGTTTTTTTAGAAATCGGTTTTATATATTCGAGTGTGTGTGTCCCCACAGAAAATGCTCTAAGTGCATTAAGTGCATTAACTCGGCAGAGTGCTTCCACAGTACCGAGGCTAGAGTCGACTTCCGGAGCGTTGCACTGTGGGTAGCTATCCCACAGTTCCCGCAATCTCCGCTGCCCACTGGAATTCTGGGTTGAGATCCCAATGCCTGATGGGGCTAAAACATTGTCGCGGGTGGTTCTGGGTACATATCGTCAGGCCCCCGTTCCCTCCCTCCCTCCGTGAAAGCAAGGGCAGACAATCATTTCGCGCCTTTTTTCCTGAGTTACCTGTGCAGACGCCATACCACGGCAAGCATGGAGCCCGCTCAGGTAACCGTCACCCGATGTCTCCTGGGTGCTGGCAGACGCGGTACGGCATTGCTACACAGTAGCAGCAACCCCTTGCCTTGTGGCAGCAGATGGTACAGTACGACTGGTAGCCGTCATCGTCATGTCCGAGGTGCTCCTGGCCACGTCGGCTGGGAGCGCCTGGGCAGACATGGGCGCAGGGACTAAATTTGGAGTGACTTGACCAGGTCATTCTCTTTAGTCCTGCAGTCAGTCCTATTGAACCGTCTTATGGTGAGTGGGCAGGCGATACGGACTGCTAGCAGTCGTACTGTACCATCTTCTGCCAGGCAGGCAAGAGATGAGGATTGCTAGTAGTCGTATTGTACCATCTTCTGCCGGGCAGGCAAGAGATGAGGATGGCTAGCAGTCGTACTGTACCATCTTCTGCCGAGCAGCCATGAGATGTGGATGGCATGCAGTCCTTCTGCACCGTCTGCTGCCAGCCAAAGATGTAAAAGATAGATGGAGTGGATCAAAACAAGAAATAGACCAGATTTGTTTTGTACTCATTTGCTTCCCCCTCTCCCCTGTCTAGGGGACTCATTCCTCTAGGACACACTGCAGTCACTCACAGAGAAGGTGCAGCGAGGTAAATCTAGCCATGTATCAATCAGAGGCCAGGCTAACCTCCTTGTTCCAATAAGAACAATAACTTAGGTGCACCATTTCTTATTGGAACCCTCCATGAAGTCCTGCCTGAAATACTCCTTGATGTAAAGCCATCCCCTTTGTTGATTTCAGCTCCCTGAAGCCAACTCTGTAAGCCGTGTCGTCAGTCGCCCATCCCTCCGTCAGAGCAACGGCAGACAATTGTTCCGCGCCTTTTTTCTGTGCGGACGCCATACCAAGGCAAGCATGGAGGCTGCTCAGCTCACTTTGGCAATTAGGAGCACATTAAACACCACACGCATTATCCAGCAGTATATGCAGCCCCAGAACCTGGCAAAGTGATATCGGGCGAGGAGGCGACGTCAGCGCGGTCACGTGAGTGATCAGAACATGGACACAGATTTCTCTGAAAGCATGGGCCCTGCCAATGCATGCATCATGGTGCTAATGGGGCAGGTTCATGCTGTGGAACGCCGATTCTGGGCTCGGGAAACAAGCACAGACTGGTGGGACCGCATAGTGTTGCAGGTCTGGGACGATTCCCAGTGGCTGCGAAACTTTCGCATGCGTAAGGACACTTTCATGGAACTTTGTGACTTGCTTTCCCCTGCCCTGAAACACATGAATACCAAGATGAGAGCAGCCCTCACAGTTGAGAAGCGAGTGGCGATAGCCCTGTGGAAGCTTGCAACGCCAGACAGCTACCGGTCAGTTGGGAATCAATTTGGAGTGGGCAAATCTACTGTTGGGGCTGCTGTGATGCAAGTAGCCCACGCAATCAAAGATCTGCTGATATCAAGGGTAGTGACCCTGGGAAATGTGCAGGTCATAGTGGATGGCTTTGCTGCAATGGGATTCCCTAAGTGTGGTGGGGCCATAGACGGAACCCATATCCCTATCTTGGCACCGGAGCACCAAGCCGCCAAGTACATAAACCGCAAGGGGTACTTTTCGATAGTGCTGCAAGCTCTGGTGGATCACAAGGGACGTTTCACCAACATCAACGTGGGATGGCCGGGAAAGGTACATGACGCTCGCATCTTCAGGAACTCTGGTCTGTTTCAAAAGCTGCAGGAAGGGACTTTATTCCCAGACCAGAAAATAACTGTTGGGGATGTTGAAATGCCTATATGTATCCTTGGGGACCCAGCCTACCCCTTAATGCCATGGCTCACGAAGCCGTACACAGGCAGCCTGGACAGTAGTCAGGAGCTGTTCAACTACAGGCTGAGCAAGTGCAGAATGGTGGTAGAATGTGCATTTGGACGTTTAAAGGCGCGCTGGCGCAGTTTACTGACTCGCTTAGACCTCAGCGAAACCAATATTCCCACTGTTATTACTGCTTGCTGTGTGCTCCACAATATCTGTGAGAGTAAGGGGGAGACGTTTATGGTGGGGTGGGAGGTTGAGGCAAATCGCCTGGCTGCTGGTTACGCGCAGCCAGACACCAGGGCGGTTAGAAGAGCACAGGAGGGCGCGGTACGCATCAGAGAAGCTTTGAAAACCAGTTTCGTGACTGGCCAGGCTACGGTGTGAAAGTTCTGTTTGTTTCTCCTTGATGAAACCCCCCGCGCCTTGGTTCACTCTACTTCCCTGTAAGCTAACCACCCTCCCCGCCTCCCTTCAATCACCACTTGCAGAGGCAATAAAGTCATTGTTGCTTCACATTCATGCATTCTTTATTCATTCATCACACAAATAGGGGGATGACTACCAAGGTAGCCCAGGAGGGGTGGTGGAGGAGGGAAGGAAAATGCCACACAGCACTTTAAAAGTTTACAACTTTAAAATTTATTGAATGCCAGCCTTCTTTTTTTTGGCAATCCTCTGTGGCGGAGTGGCTGGTTGGCCGGTGGCCCCCCTACCGCGTTCTTGGGCGTCTGGGTGTGGAGGCTATGGAACTTGGGGAGGAGGGCGGTTGGTTACACAGGGGCTGGAGTGGCAGTCTGTGCTCCAGCTGCCTTTGCTGCAGCTCAACCATACACTGGAGCATACTGGTTTGGTCCTGCAGCAGCCTCAGCATTGAATCCTGCCTCCTCTCATCACGCTGCCGCCACATTTGAGCTTCAGCCCTGTCTTCATCCCGCCACTTACTCTTTTCAGCCCGCCACTTACTCTCTTCATCCCACCACCTCTCCTCCCGGTCATTTTGTACTTTCCTGCACTCTGACATTATTTGCCTCCACGCATTCGTCTGTGCTCTGTCAGTGTGGGAGGACAGCATGAGCTCGGAGAACATTTCATCTCGAGTGCGTTTTTTTTTCTTTCTAAGCTTCACTAGCCTCTGGGAAGGAGAAGATCCTGTGATCATTGAAACACATGCAGCTGGTGGAGAAAAACAAAGGGACAGCGGTATTTAAAAAGACACATTTTATAAAACAGCGGCTACACTCTTTCATGGTAAACCTTGCTGTTAACATTACATACATAGCACATGTGCTTTCGTTACAAGGTCGCATTTTGCCTCCCCCCACCGCGTGGCTACCCCCTCAACCCTCCCCCCTCCCTGTGGCTAACAGCGGGGAACATTTCTGTTTAGTCACAGGCAAACAGCCCAGCAGGAATGGGCTCCTCTGAGTGTCCCCTGAAGAAAAGCACTCTATTTCAACCAGGTGACTATGAATTATATCTCACTCTCCTGAGGATAACACAGAGAGATAAAGAACGGATGTTGTTTGAACGCCAGCAAACATACACTGCAATGCTTTGTTGTACAATGATTCCCGAGTAGGCCTGGAGTGGTAAAGTGTCCTACCATGAAGGACGCAATAAGGCTGCCCTCTCCAGAAACCTTTTGCAAAGGCTTTGGGAGTACATCCAGGAGAGCCGCGAATGCCAGGGCAAAGTAATCCTTTCACATGCTTGTTTTTAAACCATGTATAGTATTTTAAAAGGTACACTCACCGGAGGTCCCTTCTCCGCCTGCTGGGTCCAGGAGGCAGCCTTGGGTGGGTTCGGGGGGTACTGGCTCCAGGTCCAGGGTGAGAAACAGTTCCTGGCTGTCGGGAAAACTAGTTTCTCCGCTTGTTTGCTGTGATCTATCTACAACCTCCTCCTCCTCATCATCTTCTTCATCCCCAAAACCTGCTTCCGTATTGCCTCCATCTCCATTGAAGGAGTCAAACAACAGGGCTGGGGTAGTGGTGGCTGAAACCCCTAAAATGGCATGCAGCTCATCATAGAAGTGGCATGTTTGGGGCTCTGACCCGGAGCGGCCGTTCGCCTCTCTGGTTTTCTGGTAGGCTTGCCTCAGCTCCTTCAGTTTCACGCGGCACTGCTTCGGGTCCCTGTTATGGCCTCTGTCCTTCATGCCCTGGGAGATTTTGACAAATGTTTTGGCATTTTGAAAACTGGAACGGAGTTCTGATAGCACGGATTCCTCTCCCCATACAGTGATCAGATCCCGTACCTCCCGTTCAGTCCATGCTGGAGCTCTTTTGCGATTCTGGGACTCCATCATGGTCACCTCTGCTGATGAGCTCTGCATGGTCACCTGCAGCTTGCCACGCTGGCCAAACAGGAAATGAGATTCAAAAGTTCGCGGTTCTTTTCCTGTCTACCTGGCCAGTGCATCTGAGTTGAGTGCTGTCCAGAGCGGTCACAATGGAGCACTCTGGGATAGCTCCCGGAGGCCAATACTGTCGAATTGTGTCCACAGTACCCCAAATTCGAGCCGGCAAGGCCGATTTAAGCGCTAATCCACTTGTCAGGGGTGGAGTAAGGAAATCGATTTTAAGAGCCCTTTAAGTCGAAATAAAGGGCTTCATCGTGTGGACGGGTGCAGGTTTACATCGATTTAATGCTGCTAAATTCGACCTAAAGTCCTCGTGTAGACCAGGGCTATATAAGAATCTAAGGGTATGTGTTCACTTACAGTGCTGCAGCGGCACAGCCTGTATCTATTGATTTTATTTGGGCTAGATTTCCATTTTTTGAAGGGTGCTTGATTGACTTGGAAAAGCTCCATACCTTGCCATTTCATCATGCTTTTTTTCTTTTTGCTTACTGTTTTCTTTTGTGTTTAGTGCTATACATATCTTCTCTGACTCTGTAGCTTCCATGCAGAGTTTAAGAATTTTAATTTCCTTATTTCAGGTGCTTTGCAACTAGCATAATTACTTTTAAAAATCTCCCTGCTGAAAGTTAAATATCTGAGTGCTAGATTTTGGTACTATCCCTCCCCACAAGGGTAGTGAACTTAATTATAATGTGGTTGCTATTACTTAGTGGTTCAATGATAGTTATACCTTGAACCAACACCTGTGTGCTATGTAGTACTATGATGAGAGTAGCTGCTCCTCTTCTGTGCTCCAGAACTAGTTGATCCTGTCAAACTGTCCTGCAATGGGATGAGTAGCAACTTCAGGGCAGCCTGTTAAGAAGCAGGGCACAAACCCCAAGCTAGTTGTGAGTTCCATACTTTGATTTCACAAGCCAATTATCAAATGTAAACTCCTCAAGCAGTATAAGACCCTTAACATGTTACAGACAATCTCCTTGGGTACTCTCTATCTTGCATCCAGGTAAGCTTGGCTTTGTGGTAGATGGTCCCTTTCACCAAAAATCACAACAATATTCAAGTTACTCCCAGTCCCAAAGGACCAGTCATTTATCCCAGGTCAGTTGCATCATAGATCTCACACCAAAGACAATACTTATTGTCAATCCTATAATAATCTATCTAATGGTTTATTAACTAGGGAAACAAAATAAGAGAGTTATTCACAAGATTAAAGCAGATAAACATACACACATGCAAATGAGTTACAGTCATAAGTTTCAAAAGGTAGTAGCTTCTATAATAAGCAAGCTTTATATGTCCCTTAGGGCTAACCCAGCTAAACACTGGGGATCTCTTGCTTATGCCTAGAAAATCTTGCCCTTAAGAGTCCAAGCAACAGAGAAATACAGTTTCTTCTAGACAGGGATTTTTATTTCTTTTCCCTCTTCTCTGAGCTGCCACTTCAGCTGATGGAAGGAATTCATTTGAACTTATCCTCTTGATGAGCGGGGAGAGCAACCAATAAAGTCTTTTGTCCTCTGATGTTCCATAATAATTTGTCTGATGTTGCTGGGCCTTCTCTGTTGGGCAGGACATCACACCTTTTGTTTTAGGTCAGCATTTCCCACTAATTAACATCTCACTCTGGTTTGGAGCTTTAGAGTCACAGTCAGAGGCTTACAGTGTAAATGCTCAAATATTACCTTACAATATGGGTTACAGATGTTATAAGTATGGGTGGCAGGTATAAGAGGCTTGGAGAGGCTAAGCCTCCCCACACGGGGCAAGAAATGCTGGATGTGGCGCATCGCTCTTTGGAGGCCAGCCGGTGCCTTTGGAGCACCGCTGGCGGAAGCTCCTGAGAAGTGTGTGGGAGACACTGGCACCTGGACTGTGGACCTGCCCGTGCTCTGCCCCAAGGCCTCACTCCCCCCTGACCTCTTACACCCTTGTGCCATACCTCTTCCTCCCAAGGCCTCCCCTTGGTCTCCCTCTTTCCCCAAAGCCCCCCATGTCCGCTGCTTGAGCTTCTCTGCCACCACCCCTGAGGCCTCCCCACTTGCCACTCGCTACTCTCCGCTCTCTCACCGGAAGCCCTCCCCCAGACTCCTGCTTGCTTCTCTCCATCCCCTCCCCCAAGAGGCCCCTGCCCACTGCTCGGAGAGGAGGGGCAGAGAGGAGAGGGCTGAAGGGCCTCAGGAGAGGAGGCCAAGCTGGGGCAGGGTCTCAGGGTGGAGTGGGTAGGGGATTGGGCCACAGTCCAGGCACCAGTGGCCCCCCCACTTATAGCGAGCTTCTGGCACTCGCGCCCAGCCACCCCAAATGCAAGAGTCACACACCACCTATGGGTTATAATCCATACAGCAATTTACAAGCATTCAATAAAGTCTAAACACTAAGCACATTTTTACAACCTTAATACGTATTTTAACAATAGTAATATACACAGGTGAGGCTGACTAATTCCAGCTATGTATTTGTCAGCATCCAAGTGAAGCATGGGGACCTTGGCATAAGCTGGCATCTAGTTTGCCAGTGTCACAGATCCATGAACGTTTCATTTAAGGTGTTAAGAAATTGTGTCCTGAAGTGACCAGTTTATATGCGAAAAGTTGAAATGACCCATTATTGCTTTATTAGTTGTACTTACTGTCACGGAGTGTGGGGGAGTCCAGGCCCTGCACCCCTCTTCCAGGGATTCACTGAGACTCTCAGCCAGCCAGTAAAACAGAAGGTTTATTGGACAACAGGAACACAGTCCAAAACAGAGCTTGTGGGTACACCCAGGACCCCTCAGTCAAGTCCTTCTGGGGGAGCAGGGAGCTTAGACCCCAGCCCTGGGGTTCCCTGTGTTCCTCCACCCAGGCCCAAACTGAAAACTAAACCCCCCCAGCAGGCTCTCTCCTGCAGCCTGTCTTCACATTCCTGGGCAGAGGTGTTACCTCCCCCTCCCCTTCCTGGCTCAGGTTACAGGCTCTCAGGTCTCCCATCCCCAGGGCACATTCCCAGGTCAACACTCCCCCCTCCCTGCTGCGTCACATCGTCACACTTACCTCTTTGGTCTCTCTTAGCATTGCACACCCAATGTATTTCTCCTGATCTGGATGTCAGTAGTATGCTTTATATTCTGATGGCTTTGGAATTATATCCAGTGATGCTGTATTGTCCTTTGGGGAAAATCTTGCTCCTTTAATGTGGATTTGAAGGACCTTGTTAGCAGTGGCACTGATGTGCACCCACATGCCAATAGCCATGGGAGTTTGAGAGGGGTTGAGGGAGGAGCAGGGACAGTACACTTGGATTTGTGACCACCTGGATCCACTAGCCATTCCTCTTCATAGAGCAGAGACACAGGCACTGCAGAGGCTGCAGTTGTGTTCCCAGAACAGCTGCGCTGCTACTCTGCAGATCTGCAGGTCATGGGAAGAAAAATTCCTTCCAGGCGGCTCCCAGAGAGATCCCCTGCACAGCCTGCAATTACATGGGCCACATGCTGGGAGGCAGGATTGCCCATATGCATTAACAGTGAAAAGGCTTTTCTACAGATATATAAAATGATATAAGTGCCAACACTATATTAAGTCATTTGGATTGTTTGACAATCCATGGGTTTAATAACCATTAACCTTCCTATCACATAATTATTACAGCTAAATTCTCTACTCTTTTAAATAGATACCTGATTCAGGAAAGCCCACCTATTCAAGATTTAAAAGTTGCATTGTGAAGAAACTGACGTCCAGTGTCCCTGTTGCTAGTAGCCCTATCATCACAAGATGGCAGCAGACACATGCAAGAAATCACGTTGAGCAAACTTTCACAGAGTGTCAGCCTCTTAATCTCTTTCCAGCTGATGGATCTGAGCTAGTAAGGACTCCTGCAAAGATCTCAACAATCCCAGGTCAGTCTGCAGGTAGAAAAACAGCATGGGGACCGGATCACTCTGGAGATTCACAAGGGCCTCTAAAGTTCCCAGTTAATCTGCATCCGGCCAAAGCTGGTAGTGACCAAAAGTGGTGGGTTCAGTGTCCCACCTGAGATATATGTGTTGATGTCAGTCCAGTTCCTAGTGGATAAGTATTATTATTAGAGAGACAAGGTGAGCAAGGTAATAACTTCTATTGGACCAACTTCTGTTGGAGAGAGAGACAAGCTTTCAAGCCACACAGAGCTCTTGTTCAGGTCTGGGAAAGGTACTCCCAGCATCACTGCAAAATGCAAAGTATTATCATTTGTACATAGCAGCATAAGTGTGCAGGAGCTTTAGAGGGAGAATAAAAGCACAGGGTCTAATTCATCTTAGTGGAATTATACTGCTCTTAAACTGGTGTAAAAGGAGAATTAGGCCCATGACCCCTTCCTGTGGAATGTACAACCTAGCATAGATAGGGCATGACATGCTGGTAATGCAGGGACAGGTGACATCAGGGAAGGCAAAGGGAAAAAAAGAGCCAGATCCTTGTGTCCAGACAAGTTGCTTTCAGTGTAGGACCACTTTGGGCCCCTGGTCCTGGGGGTAGATGGGGGCTGAGTGCTCTAAGATGCACTGGTTTGTAACAATACCTTCAATGGTTTTACACCAGCTGAGATTGCCTGGAATGCTGATGCTCAGTCTGTAAGCAGGTTTCTTGGAGAGGGAGGTGATCATTTCCTGGGCTGGCTTGGACCAGCTCTGGCAGCCCAGAGGTTGTGTGGTGTGTAGAGGGACTTGGGAGGAGACCCAGGCTTGTGTCTGTCCTTGTGTGTGTTGGCAGAGAGGAGTTATGAGGGAGCAGGCAGTAAACTGGCCAGACCTATGGTAGCTTTAACTGAGAACCTGAGGCTGTGTGGGTCAGCTGAGCTCAGTGCTGGCTCATTGAAAGAACAACCATGAAAAGGGTACATGGTTTCCTTGCTTCTTTTGGGGTGCCTGAGATTTGATTCCCATATGTAGCAATATCGAGGACAGATGGGGAAGTCATTCACTCATTGCATGCACACAGTTGGCTGAGTTATGGGACAAAGTGAGATCCATATTTACCTGATTCAGGATCCAAATCATTAGACACCTAATAAAGGTTGCTCCTAAAAATAGAGAGTGGGTTGTCACCCTGTTCCTACCAGCCAAAGACTGTTAGGGACACTTGCAATGTGTGCCACTTTCCTCTATTGAATGGAATGTGACAGTTGCTCAAGAGTGTGATCCTAACTCTAGTCTCTGGCTCACAAAGAAGGTATAAGCCCTTAAACAAAAGGAGTTCTCCCTCCTTTAGCTTTAATGGTAGGAGCTTGTCTGTATGATGCAGAAATCCCTGCGTTCCATTTCTGATGGCAGTGGTGAAGTTGTGTGTAGCCATGGAATCCTTGCCAACATTCCTAGGAGACATTTCCTCTGGGGCTGAGTGCAGAGCCCTGCTCCTACCAGCCATGAAGCCTGGAATCAAGCTATCAACATAAAATTTGGATTCTGTTGGTGATAGTGCATTGTTCTACTAACAAAGCATCAGGCCAACCCTCAGGATTAGTGTTACCAAAGAATCTGCTTTATAATGGAAAGGAACAATACAAGCATTGGGCAAACGTACTCTTATTTTTTAAAGGAAATGTATCCATTAAAACCTTTTTTGCAGTATCTTTTCAGGTGCCTATCAAAAATTCTACCAACGAACCTTATGTCATTACTAATGCCACAGCTAAGTGTCATGAGACAACTTACTTACAAGGAAGAAATAAAAGGAGAGCTGAAATTGCAAAGAAGCAGGTAAGTAATGTAACATTGCATATGTATTGACAGGATTTATATTAAACCCTTTTCTGATATTTGCATTGTTAGCATATTTTGTTACCTTGTCCTCTTCCCAGAATCTCCTGCTTATTTTCTACCTTTTTAACATGTCAAACAGTGACAAGAACAGCAGGCTGCAGAGCAGCCATCTAGATAAGTGTAATTAAAAATTGCTCTGTCACTTGTGGTTAACTTACATTCATGTGTCTCTGCTTCTCCAGACTATAGAGAGATAAGGATAGTGGGGTAATATCTTCATTTAAAGTTTTATTGAAAACTCACTTCTCCCATGAAGAACATGGCGCTGATCCATGTCAGTAAAAATTATCACTACATCATGAAACACAAACTATACTTTCTCCCTCTCTTCTATCTTAATTCTATTTGCTTGGACTCTCAGTACAATCTTATGTTGTTCATTTGCTCAGTCTGTAAGCTGTTTGGGTCAGTGACAGTGTGATGGCTGCCATCTTTACTGATACATTGGGGTTTGAACCGGGGATCTCCAGAGCTAAAAGCATGAGCTAAAGAGTCAAGGTTATATAGCTAGGGGCTGGAGCAACTGCCTCTCCCTTTGGCTTGTACAGCACCATTCACATGGTCAATATTGTCACAGGGTAACTGGCCCTCTGAAGGGGTCAGGAACCCAGCCTACCTGTGACAGGATCTGCTAAGGAGAATGAGTCAATGCAGATCCACCAGTGAGTAATTAATTGCCTAGGGTGACAGTTAATTGAGCCCTCATGACCCTAATTAGACCCAGGTGTTCCTTAACCAGTTAGGAGGTCCTGGAATACAAGAAGCTCCTGAGAAAAGGGACTTCTCAGGGGAGCTGGTTAGAGAGTTCACCAGGAAAGGAGACCTAATTAGGGTTGCCGCCTCTAAGGAACAAAAAACAGACCATAAAACTGGACAGCTCACAGTGTGTACTGAGCATCCTTAGAGATTTCCCAGGACATCTACCTCAAAAAAAAAAAAAAAAAAAAAAAGGAACAATCCTGGGGAAACCTGGGGATGGTAACCTGAGACCTATGGAAGGTGCTCCTAGGAGGAAGACATTCAGAAAGGGGAGCACTATAAACATCAAGCCCTAGGTAGATCTTGTCCTGGAGCAAGGACAGCAGCAGGAGGTCCAGACTGCAGAGGAACTATACTCTGCTCTGGAAAAGAGTTGCAGTAGCTTGATCGTTAGGTTGACTCTGAGCCCAGAGAAGGAACCCTTCCCCCAGGTCATGGCAAGAGGCCTGACTCCAGAGTGGGTCCTGGGTCAAGAGGACCAAACTGGTGAGGAGATTTGGCTGAGGAGGTTGATGGACCCAGGTGGGCACAGGTAGATTAAGACGAACTTGGCCCACTGGCTAGGATGTTTGCAGTGAAGACTTGCTTGTGTGTCTGTTTGACCTTTGGTTAAATGAATTAGAGCCCTGAAGGGGCACCGTTCATTACGTAAAAGCCTTGTTGAACTCACTAAAGTCCGTTAAGGAAAACTGAGGCAGATACATACCCATGGTTTGGCACCAGGCTACCATAAAGTGCTCCAGGGTTGTGTCCACCTTAATAAATGATACATATGAATAATAATAAAGAATACTGATGTGCCATTTTCACATAATCTTTTTTGTGACCATACCCACACTTTAAGGATGGAGCATAGTTGTTAACTCTGAATGTCTTTGCTTCTATTGGTTTGTGTCACATCATTAACATTATTTAAACTTAAATGATAGGCTCTGGTCTCAGCACACGAACAGCTAAACTATTGTCAAGTTTTTAGTAAGTGTCACGGCAAAGGAGAGTTAGTGTGGGTGTCTTTTCTATAATACTGAAAGAAGAACAGAAAACAGTGGTCAGCGCTGACTAGAAATATATGGGAGGATGCTCTAATAATTTTCTACAGGTATAGTAATGAATAAGGCTAAGATATAGTCAGTGGGTGGAGTGTCTGTCCCCTAGACCCGCTCCAGCAGTGGCTGGCGTGGCTTCCCTGGAGGCCACCTGAGCAGCTGGCCCTGGGGTCAGTCACACTGGATGCTGCGGAAGTCACAGAGGTCGCAGGAAGTCATGAAATCTGTGACTTCCATGACCTCCGTGACAGACACGGAGCCCTAGTAATGAATGACCATTTAAGATGATAAATAGTGCTCATTCTGCCTGATAGTGGAAGGGGGTAGTGCAAATCAAGAATAAAAGTCTCTTGGACATTCCAGTGAATGTGTGGTCCTTTTGTGGTCCAGAAGATTATTTCCCCATGTATATAGTATGTTTTCCATATAAATGTCTGCACTAGTTTCCGAGACATTCAAATCCAAGTAATCTGATTATCTTTTTGCCAAATTGTCTGTATAAATCATTAATAAAATGCCTCTCAAAGAGGTCATGGTTCAGAACAGCTCTGGGACATGCAAAGAAGAAATATTACTTTTCCAGTGATGTGTCTGTGAGACATTTCTTGTAATTATTAAAGTAGGATTTAGAAGAAGAGCAGCATTTTGCCCATTTGGAGAGATTGGATTTCATAAACATTTTTTAACTAACATGCTGTTAATCTTCAGCGGTGGGTGAATGCATCAACTATATTTCCACCCGTCTGAAAAAAATATTACAGACCAAACTAACATTTCTTTGACCTCATAACAAACCCACAGAGAAACTGTCATAATACTATTCAATGCAATATGAATAAACATTTTGGCCTCTTGTTACCATCACATATTAAGAAGAAATGTGGTGTCAGGGATAGGTGAAGAGGTTAGGATCAAATAAGAACTGGCCTGAGCCTTTGCCCAAATCTTGACCATAATCTTAAACAGGTCTTTTCTGAAGACTGAAAAAGTTCCAGTAACAGTTTGCTTCCCCCCACACTTACTTTCCATTATCACATGCTTAGCATTTTCTGGTTATATCTGAGACCCAATGCAGGGAGCATCAGAAATCTCATTAAAGACCCTACTTCCATGAGATTAGCCTCCTGATTTTCAGCACCAGGAGATTCAGATAGTTTTTGACAAGGTTTGGATAAGCATCTGAACTTTTGGGTGGCAAGTAGATGTTCTACGGAGGGAGGATGGTGTTGAGATTAAGGCACATGGTTTGGAGATTAGAGACTGATATTCTACGCATCGTTTTGGTACAGACTCAGTGCCTGACAGGAGCCAAATCACTCAACCTCTTTGAACCTCAGTTCCCTCATCTGTAAAATGGGGATGATAATACGGGGATATTGTAACGGTTAATTCATGAGTATTTGTAAAGTGTGTTGAGTCCCTTAGATCAGTGGTTCTCAGCCACGGGTCCAGGGCCTCAAGCAGGTTTCAGGGAGGCCTCCAAGTAGGGCCAGCATTAGACTCGCTGGGGTCCAGGGCAGAAAGCCAAAGCCCCACCATGTGGGGCTGAAACCCAGATTCCTGAGACCCGCCACCCGGGGCTGAAGCTGAAGCCTGAGCAATGTAGCTTCATGGGGTACCCCTGTAGCATTGGGCCCCAGGCAATTGCCCTGCTTGCTACCCCCTAATGCCGGCACTGGCTTTTATATGCAGAAAATCAGTTATTGTGGCACAGGTGGGTTGTGGAGTTTTTATAGCATGTTTGCTCAGAAAGAAAAAGATTGAGAACCTCTGCCTTAGATGGAAGGAGCTATGGATGTGCACATAATGATGTCATGCATAATACTTCAAAATTCCTCCTCAATAATGTTTTCATTTGAATATATTTGTAGAAATGTCTTACTCAGCTGTTAATGCTCCAAGAGGGTGGATTTGACATCCCAGAAAATGACAGTATAAAGATCTGTGGAAACACTGAGTGTATTTGGAAAGGTATGCTACTGGGACAGTGAATGCTAGTAGTATATCTTGGCAATAAGGACAATATAAGATGTTACTTGGGCACCAAGAGGATTCTTTGATTATCATATGAGTCTTGTTTATCTACTGTTTATGAAAAATGTTAATTTGTTTTGATGGTCTAGTTATTTCTATGCATCTCAAATTCTCAGCAGTTAGGTCCTGATCCAAACCCTTGTAATCAACGGGAGTCTTTCCATTGACTTCAATGGGCTTTAGATTTGGCCCTTAGTACCAGACTGCACAGATACTAATAGCCATGCCGATCAGCTGAATGCTCCATAGCTACTGGCCTTAATTATGAGTCAAAGCAACAGAAATATCTCTCAAGAGTTCTTTTAGACTAGCTGGATAGAAAGATTTCCTCCTCTCTGTGGTTTCTGCTTCACTAATTTTAATTAGTGAGAGGCTCAAATATCTGATTCCCTCAATATGGAAGCTTAAATATGTGGGATGGAGGGTACCATTTAGGTAGACAGCAGTGGGCAATTGCTTGGCCCCAGATTTTGGTAATCCTCCTTGGTATTCTGACTGTCTGAGAGAAATTTTCAAACCTGATCACATATGTTGTGACTGCAGGAAAAGAATAAGAAGCCTTGGTCCTCTACAGTTTTACATGTCATTATGGAACTTTAGTAATTGCCCACAGAAATGGCTACTTATGTCTGCAATAACCTGATGTGCCTGCAAAAATATAGGCATGTGAGCTCCTAACGGACGTGTGTATAGTTTTGAATCCACAATTTAGGCAGCCGCATGTGAATATTTAGCTTGCTGGATCAAATTGTAGAGGGAGGTAGGAGAGTCAGAGGCTCATCCTTCTCAGGTGCTACCCTGAGTTTTCTTATCTTGTTTGTCTGTAGCCAAAATCTTTAGGCATTAAGCCCAATGGTGACTGGGGAGAGATTTTTAAAAGCATAAATGGTAGCTAGGTGCCCAGTTCCCATGGAAAGTCAATGTGAGGTAGGCACTTAGCAACCATGTGTGCCTCTGAGAATCTGCCCCTGAGAATCTGGTTTTGGTCTCAGTTACTCCGGTGTAAATAAGGAGTAACTCCAATGAAGTCAATGGTGTGAGAACAAATCAGGCCCTGGGTGGTTAATAACAGTGTTACCTAGTGGATGGAACAGCGGACTAAGTGTCAGGAATGCCAGGTTTTATTCCTGTTACACACTTGCTATGTCATCTTGAGTAAGTAACTTAGGGTAAAATTTTCAAAGGTGTCTAAATCCCATTTCCAGAAGTGGCATGGGCACTTGGGCTCAGATTTTTAAAGGTATTTAGGAATTGCTCTGCTCAGTTTTGCAAAGCCTAAAACCCAGATGCTAATCCCCCTAGATTAGGCACATAACTCCTACTGGGCCTAAGTGATTGAGATGGCTTAAATCCCATTTTAAAAATGATTTAGGAGCCTAAGTCTCACTGCAAATCAATGTTAATCTGTTAATACATCTGTAAAATAACACAAAGGGGTGCAATGAGGTTCAGGCAGCTCAATGACGTAAAAAACTCACACATGGAATATATTAGAATGCTGTGGTTTTATCACAATGCACTTCGGGTGGGTACATTAATCATGAGAAGAGAAACCACAAGTGCGTTATGCTGATCATCCCATCCTTTATAATCAACTGTGCCATACCATAGTCTGTATATGCTACAGAAGAACTGTTTTAGGAATGCTTTAAAGAGCTTTTCAATTTTTATTGTGACTGTCTTATTATATTCCTCCCTCTGTAAAACCAGATGTCTTAATTGTCACTAGTTCAACTGTAGTGGGCTGAGAGAGAGTCAGACAGGTCCCTAAAAATAACCTAAAATAACTCTTCTGTACCCATATGTCACACCTTTATCGTCAGTTATTTTGGGCCCGTCTAGGGTTAGCAGTGAGTGCTGTGTGTCCCCCTAGGCACGAGGGAATTTCCCTTATCCAGTGACTTTTGCAGGACTACAGGATATCAGACTTCAAAGTCCCAACATGTTTATGCATTGAACAAGTTGTCACTGGCCCAGGGATGACTCTTGCTCACCTTCAGTCTAAGACAAGTGTCACTTTCTGGGAGCAAATCCCATATTTGAGAGAGGAGAAAATGTTTGTCTGGCAGTTTGATTTTTTATTTTAATGGCATATGTTTGAACCTGCTCCGTGATGTTGGAATGCTAGGATAAATCCTGGGGAGAGGAATATGAGATAGAGCAGGGCATCATGAACAGAGTTGTTTATGAAAAAGCAGATTCGTCCGAAGGAGCCTCAAGCTCTCATCACAGACACATTGATTAGGAAATTATCTGTTAAAAGTCTAGGGCTCTTAATTCTCGAAACCCACATACGCTGCATCTAAACTGGGGAAATTTACAACCTAATCCTGCAATGAGCTCTGCTCAGATGGGCCCCACTGGCGTTCTGTACAGAGCTCCTTGCAGGAACACTGGCTTAGTCTTAACTTCATAAGTAAGTTTAAGAAAACAAAGAAAAGTCTTTTAAGATGAATCCTCGAGTATGGCTCTAAACCCTGCATTTCCCACAATCACACTTCACTTACAGATTCCAGTGGAAATATTAAAGGGTTTTCAGAAACACAAATACAGTGAAAATGGCTTAGAGTCAAGCGATTTGAGCCTGACAATCAGCTTTGTGGAATTTTTCATGAAATGTATTAAAAGATTTCATGAAATCTCTCTATAAACATGAAAGGAAAACTGGCAGTTTGGATTTAAATCTTGCCCTGAAGCGACTGAAAAAAACAAGGAAATGTTTGGGTTGCAAAACCCTCCAAATATGCTAAATTCTGCACAGAACAAGTAGATACATGGCCCCTACACTGAAGAATTTACACAAAACACTGAATTAATGCATGAGAGCTAGAAAGTGAAACCAGCTAAAAAGAAAAAATGAACCATTTACCCTGTTTTCCCTGTCCAAGTTGAGAGAAGTACAAAAAAGTAGGGTGAAAAGAATTTTTAGCAGTGAAGGTATTTAGCCATTGGAACAATTTACCTAGGGATGTGTGGGTTCTCCATTACTTTTAAAACAAGGCTGGATGACTTTCTAGAAAATCTGCTCTAGCTCAACCAAAAGTTATGGGCTTGATGCAGCAATCACTGGGTGAGTTCTGTGGCCTGCACTATGCAGGAGGTCAGATTAGATTATCCTAATGGCCCCTTTTGACCTTCACATCTATGAATCTAGGTAATCCAAGGTGAGTGTTAAATACATTTATCATATGGCTCTGCAATTTATGACAGATATGACTTTCATAGATGGTGTTTGGGGGTGTGTGTATGTATATATGCACTGAGGTTATAGCTTTGTGATAGATTGCAGAGCCATGTGATAATACAGATTTGTTCTTGACAAACTTCAACGTTTGCTGATTTGAAAGCTGAACATTAATTATCCTTGTAAATCAATTTCCTTAGAATGCCTGGAGCATTCCTTATTCATTCTGAATATCTTTATCTAAAGAATTTGACAAAAATATTCCTTGTAAAGGGGGGTTTCAAAATGGCACAAGGAAGGTGCACAGATGCGAATGCCCATCATGCTGCTGCAAGATAATTTCTGAAGTGTAACAAGAAAATAAAATCTTGTTGCTAATTACATAGCTCTTTTCTACAGGACGTGGGGTCTTTGCATCAAAACGCAGACAGTGACCACAAGGCTAACGGTTCTGCTTGCTCATACTTGTGTTTTTCTGCTGTTTTTTTCTGTTTCTCACTTCTTCCTCATCACATACCTAAAATAGAGTGATCAAAGACATCAAAGGCAGGCCTGATGTGAAAAGTCTTTTCCTGTGGTTTTGTATTGGGGGGACTCTTTTGATGGGAACTTAAAACCAAATAGCAGCAAATATTTAGAGAATGAATTAACCACTTCATTTGGGGATTTTGAGGTGACTGAGCATCTAAGAAGCCTTTGAAAGTTAAAGACCTTTTAACAGAGAACTAAAGCAGGAGAAAAAGGCAAGGCTAAATTTTAGGGCTGTCGATTAATTGCAGTTAACTCATGCGATTAACTAAAAAAAATTATTCACAATTTAAAAAATTAATCGCGATTAATCGCAATTTTAATTGCACTGTTAAACAATAGAATACCAATTGAAATTTATTTAATATTTTGGATATTTTTGTACATTTTCATATATATTGTATTCTGTGTTGTAATTGAAATTGAAGTATATATTGTTTTTTATTACAAATATTTGCACTGTAAAAATGATAAAAGAAATAGTTTTCAATTCACCTCATACAAGTACTGTAGTGCAATCTCTTTGTCGTGAAAGAGCAATTGACAAATGTAGATTTTTTTGTTACATATCTGCACTCAAAAACAAAACAATGTAAAACTTCAGAGCCTACAAGTCCGCTCAGTCCTACTTCTCATTCAGCCAATGGCTGAGACAAACAAGTTTGTTTACATTTACAGGCGATAATGTTGCCCTCTTTTTATTAACAATGTCACCAGAAATGGAGAACAGGCATTTGCATGGCACTTCTGTAGCTGGCATTGCAATGTATCTATGTGCCAGATATGTTAGATATTCGTATGCCCCTTCATGCTTTGGCCACCATTCCAGAGGACATGCTTCTATGCTGATGATGCTTGTTTAAAAAAATAATACGTTAATTCAATTTTTGACTGAACTCCTTGGGGGAGAATTGTATGTCCCCCTGCTCTGTTTTACCCACATTCTGCCATATATTTCATGTTATAGCAGTCTCGGATGATGACCCAGCACATGTTGTTCATTTTAAGAACACTTTCACTGCAGATTTGACAAAACACAAAGAAGGTATCAATGTGAGATTTCTAAAGATAGCTACAGCATTTGATCCAAGGTTTAAGAATCTGAAGTGCCTTCCAAAATCTGAGTGGGATGGGGTGCGGAGCATGCTTTCAGAAGTCTTAAAAGAGCAATACTCAGATGTGGAAACTACAGAATGTGAACCACCAAAAAAGAAAATCAAACTTCTGCTGGTGGCATCTGACTCAGAGGATTAAAATGAACATGCGTTGGTCCGCACTGCTTTGGATTGTTATCAAGCAGAAGCTGTCATTGGCATGGACGCATGTCCCCTGGAATGGTGGTTGAAGCATGAATGGACTTATGAATCTTTAGCGCATCTGGTACATAAATATCTTGCAGTGCTGGCTACAACAGTGCCATGTGACTGCCTGTTCTCACTTTCAGGTGACATTGTACATAAGAAGTGGGCAGCATTATCTCCTGCAAATGTAAACAAACTTGTTTGTCTGAGCTATTGGCTGAATGAGAAGTAGGACTGAGTGGACTTGTGGGCTCTAAAGTTTTACGTTGTTTTTTTATTTTTGAATGCAGTTATTTTTTTTTGTTCCCAATTCTACATTTGTAAGTTCAACTTTCATGGTAGAGATTGCACTACAGTACTTGTATTAGGTGAATTGAAAAATACTATTTCTTTTGTTTTTTTACAGTGCAAATACTTGTAATAAAAAATAAATATAAATTGAGCACTGCACACTTTGTATTCTGTTTTGTAATTAAAATCAATATATTTGAAAATGTAGAAAACATCCAAAATATTTAAATAAATGGTATTGTATTATTGTTTAATCGCGTGATTAATTGCGGTTAATTTTTTTAATTTTTTGACAGCCCTACTAAATTTGTTTCACGCTGGCCTTTGATATAATTGAAATGGAATATAACAGAATGCTTTATTCTGGCTCAGGTACACTTCATGAGGGGATGAACAGGGTGGAGGCTTTAATCTACACTTAATATTTACATCTAATATTTTGGCCCTGGCTGGGTGTGTGGCCAGCCCCCACTGTAAATTAGAGCACCCTCAGGGTGCTGTAATTTATGCCTGGGTTGTCTCTGGCCTCATAGGAACCATGAATAAAACAACTATTGTCTGAGGAAAACTAGTGGCAATTTTAATGAGTGAATCACATACTTTGAATCTTTAAACGCAGGCTGCCAGAATGGAGTGAATAATGAATTTACTGCTCACAGAATTTCCACTAATACCGAATCTTTCATACCATTTGTCCCAGAGGTCAGGCTTCATATTACTGGCTTACGCAATGATTACTGTAAGTTTTTTATTCTCTTTCATTACTTGGGTGGTTGAATTTTGTAGGAGAGTGGGAACTTTTGTATCTTATGTCTTAAGATGGGTAGCTGAAGTGTGGCCCTTACACCAGATGTGGTCCATGGAGTTCTACAGTGAGGCCTATGGCTAATCTCATTTTTCTTACAGGAGTGCAGCCTGTGAAAACTATAGGTCCTAATATGTAATTTCAGGCTGCTTGGATGAAAATGGAGCAGACTGCATGCTGGGAATTATAGTCTCCATGGGTAATACCTCTGTAGTTGTAGTAATTATAATAATACCTAGTTCTTATATACTGCTTTTCATCTGTAAATCTCAAAGTATTTACAAAGGGGATAAGTACTATCATCCCCACTTAATAAAGTCAAGTGCAGAATAGGTGTTATTCTTGGGCTCATAGCAGTTTACCTATGGGCCAGTCCCTCTATTGGGCAAAACTTGAAATCTGGTTGTATTCTGAGATTTAACGGAGGTAGTTTGCTGTTTATATGATATATACATTTTGGGGCAAATTTTCTCCCAGGCCTTTAGCTGATCTTCAGTAGTGCACATGCAAAATTACACAGGAATGTAAATTTGCTTGCACTCTCCAACTGCAAATACCTGGGCAATCACTTTAAAAATTCTAACAATCATGAACATGCAAGTGTTAGAGCTTCCACTTGCAAAACTATCTTGTCGCTGCATTTTTTTGTGGATTAACATGAAAACATTTGCATATGTGTATTAGACAAGTTCACTTGTATCTGTGAATGTGCACAATTTTGCTGATGCATAAATTGAGTTTGGGATTCTACCCTGGTTATTTACACTTATTTCACTCAAGCTGTCTGCTCTCTGAGAGTGCAGCATCAGCACAGCTCTGTTCCTGCAAATGATTCCTTATTAGTGTTGGTTTATATTCATTTTTGATGGCAGCAATTTGGTTTACAGGCAAAGTAAAGGAATGACAGATTTAATAATTCTAAAGGGTAACAGCTTTGTTATGAAAATATTAAGCAAGATCCCTCCCTACAGTAAGGTCACTCCATGCTGCTGCAGCAATGCAAAATGACCTTAGAGTTGTGCTAAACAGGCAGATGAGAATTCCCCAGTAAGTGGAGGGAATCCTTGGCCGGTGTAACCTGCTGTAGAGTATAACATCAGACCTAGAGTGTAGCCAATGCTACATTAGTCCTTCCTGGTATAGGTAATGTTTTGAGGGTCTGGCCAAGGTATGTAGAGATCTGACTTACCAGTGTACCAGTCAATGAAAGTTAAAGCAGCTCCTGACCATCACGGTATCACAAGATGTGGAAATATTGCCTGGCGCCATCTTTGCCTGCCCACTCCTGACCCGAACTCTAGAGCTGAGGATGCAGCTCTTTGTCTGATTCTTGTTTTTATAGTGTGTGCAGGGTAAACTTCAGGATTAGCCCTGATGCCTACAAAATAAGGGAAGGATTATAATCCTTTCAGGTAGGGATTTGTTCTTTCTGTGATTGTACAGTGCCCAGCACAGTGGGGCCTTTGGATACTACTGTAATATATATATATTTAATAATAGCCTGCAAGCAAAGGCTTAAGTGGAATCATGTTTGGTGTACTAACTATGAATCTGGGAAAATAACATCTTGTACTCATTCACAAAGGTGGACATGGGAAGGATCCTGGCACTATTAGAGTAACTTGATTCATTTGGTTCTTTCTCTTTAGTGTCCCAATTGAATAATAACCTGACAAAGCTGCATAATTAAAAACTATCCCCTTACAGGCTTATTAGTAATTTTAACTAATTTTCTTCTAGATCTAAACATCCTGGACTGGAACCAGGAAAATCTCATTGCCATTGCTCTAGGATCTGCTGCCCACATTTGGAATGGGGAAACCCACCGAAGCACTGAAAGAGTTAATTTAAACTCCAGTTTAAAATATATTTCTTCTGTAGCCTGGATAAAAGAAGGAACTTGCCTTGCAGTTGGCACCAGTGATGGAGAAGTGCAGGTACTGGATACCTTACTTTTAGATCCTTTTTTCTGTTTAGATAAAGTGGCCACAAGACAATTCACATCACATAGATTCTTTTTATTAATAAAAAGTTATGAGTAGTGAACCATATAAAATTCAGAAAATCTCTGTTGGAGAGAGATTTATAGCATCTCCTTAAGCAGTGCTGCACCTCACTAAATGCCTTGGTATTACCCACCATTACCTAAAGGTAATGGAGCTCCGAGAGCCACGTAAGAACTTGTAGCTGGGTAAATGATTCAGTCACCCAAGGGCCTCTAGAGATTTTGCAGCCATGAGTTGGAACCTCTCCACACAATTATTTTCTCCAGGGTGCATACTTTTTTTACCATGACTTTCTAATAGATTGCCCTGTGATGTCTGCTTTGATGACATTTGCAATTAGAATCCCGGGCAAAATTCTCCTATCGGATCCACAGAGCAGATCTTGCCCTCAATATTCTGCTGTCCCTATATGTATAGAACTCCTCATACAGTACACCCCAGTTATCCAGAGATCTTGGGGAACACCTGGCTGACACTGTCAGATGAAAGGGATAAGCCAGGAGAGCCAGCCCTACGGGCTTGAAAATCAGTAATTGAAAGAGCACATAAGACAACATTTTCAAGTGTGGATTTCTAGATATCGACACCTAAATTAATGGCTGTATTTTCAGAGGTGGTGAGTAGCTGCACTACTTTGGGAGTAGTGATTTAGGAACCCAAGTGTGGAAGTGTTGGCCGGAGAGCCCAAAACTGAAGTCTTTGTGTGAAGAATGGTTTTCAGGATTGAGCTCTTGACCATCAGCATCATGTCAAATTAAAACTGAATGGTGGAAGAGGCGTGGCAGTAAAAAAAATCTTTTTTTACTTGATTTTAGAATTGTATTTTGTGTTTTGTTTTGTCAGTTATGGGACATTGAAACCAAAAAGAGGTTGAGAAACATGTTTGGCCACCTGTCTGTGGTGGGAGCCATGAGCTGGAATCATTATATACTTAGCAGGTGAGCAGTTCAATATATTCATAGGATGCTTTGTCCCACAGCTTTTTCCTATGCTGTTTACCTATCTGCCTACCTATCATGGTCTCATGAGGTGAAATTCACCCTTATGCAGAAGGCCAGCACAATGCCTATCCACCACATAGGTCCCATTTTGAGGACTCAAGTGACAAATAAATGATTGTTAGACGATTTGCTGGCCCTCCGCACAGGGGTAAATTTAATCCCAATTGCCTAACACTTTGTATCTAAGCACTATTTCAGTACAGGGGTTGAGGTAAATCAAACATATTTTCCTCAGCCATTATGGATTTACAATCCACTTCTCTTTATGTTCCCAATTCATTTTCTCAAAGACTTGTAGGGCTGATGAGAGACCTGCCAAAAATTGTAATTATATTTGGTGTTATATTCTGTGCTTTGTAAAGCTTCCATTTCAAAGCCATGTGAAATTCTGATAATTTGGGTTATAAACAGAAACAAAAGCTGTGTTTCATTCATACTTGGTTTACAGCCTTGAACCTTACAGTAAAACTCAAAATAAAACTTTTTACTATCTCTGGACAGTGACACATTTCTGGAGAGTTTTGTGGTTTCACTTTGTGTGACAGTTGATTGTAATACATCTGCTAGATAGCCTACCTACACAATATTCACTAGTTTCAGTTTGCATTTGAACTTTGCCATATGAGACAGATGAAACAGAAACCAATAGGTTACAAATCTATCTGAACAGAAAATGACAGTAAGATTCAACAATGCGCATATGAACAAACACTAACAAATTGATCCGTTTCTGAGGGTTAAAATTCATCTACGAATGCTCTACTTATCATTTCTTAGCAAATTCTCCATGCCACTGCAGGTCCTCACATATAAGGAAATCTTTGTGCATGATGACATACACCCTGCATACCATGTGATGAGACTTGACATATGCTACCCAAATTTGCCCTGTGGAGCCAGTATCATTCCATAGAATATTAATGAATTAGCGGTCTTCTAATTCCCCTTAAAGTATCCAGAAGAAGGTATCACCCCAAACCCACAATAAACAGAAATCTGCCATTTTGTAGCCGTGTACTTAAGCCACCACTTTAGCTTATCTTGTTGGAATCTATTCAGGCATTTGGGTGCTTCATTAATTTCAAGAATTTAGTATGTCAATATAACACAGGCTAATGAAACACTCTCGTTACCTTACAAATCACTCATTCCTTTTTGCATTTATGTTAACAAGAGGCTACAAGTCAAAGTGATACTTGACTTGCATATGAACAACCTAAGAATAAAAGCCTGTCTTGAAAGAAAAGCTCAGCACAAAGGGGCTATGACAATTTACTCTATGGGATAGTTTGTTGTAATTATTATATAGACCAGATCTTCTTGTAGTAATGTCAGATGCCTGGCTTTACCAAGTAAGGAAAGTTATTATTAATCTAGATGGTAGTTTTCCCAGTCTGGTCAGAATGAATTTATGAATGACCTATGGAAGGATCTCTCATTTTGCCACTGATTTGCTGGAGTCCTTTGCTGGGTAGAGAATGTTATCAGCAGCAAGACATTTTAAAATATTATTAATTTGCCTGATGTTTTTGTGCTGTATAATAACCACGCCACCAAGAACCAGACTGTGACCCTGGCTATGCTCCCAGGGTAGTAAGGGAGCCCCCTTAGTCCCCTGGGGGCCATTACTTGCCTTCCTATAGGAGGATATATCAGGGTTCAGGAGAGGGTGCAGCCTTGGATCCATTCCCCAAAATGCCAGTCAGTGCAGCTGAGCCAGCATGACAGGGAAAGTAAATGGAGCCAGGTTTGTGGAGATTACCTCTCACCCTGCAGGAGCTGGGGAACCTGCGACCTGATGGTGACTCTGTGAGTCAAGGTCTGGTTCCTGATGTGTTCCCCAGGCTATGCAACTATGTACTGCCCCTTAGCTGGGAGTCGTGGCAAAGACACAATTGACCTTGCAACATATGGTTTGAGGATTGGCCTGCTAAATCCAGGGTTGTGAGTTCAGTCCTAGACGGGGCCATTTATGGATCTGGGGCAAAAATTGGGGATTGGTCCTGCTTTAAGCAGGGGGTTGGGCTAGATGACCTCTTGAGGTCCCTTCCAACCCTGATATTCTATGAAGTATTTCACAATACAGAAAAAATGGCTGAGTGCTTTTCTTAGGGATGATGGAAGTGATTGAATTGAATTGTTTATAGGTGGAAATTGGTAACATACACTAGACTATCTCTTCAGGTAAGTGCAATGTGTAATGGAGAACAATTAATCTCCCTGACCTGGGCTGGGCATCCACTTTTCCCTGATCCATTGTATGGCAGTACTACAACTTGAGTTCGCTTTTGACACTGGCTTGTTTTGCCTTTGATTTGTCGCCTTGTTACTGTATTTGACATACATGATCCCCCTCCCCCATTGTTGTGTTCTGCTTCTGAAGCCACAGAAGACTTGTGAATTTGCAAACATATCTGAGCTCTATCTTGCTAAATGATGCTGTCTCCTGTCATCTACAGTGGTTCAAGACTAGGATTAATTCATCATCATGATGTTCGGATTGCTCAGCACCATGTAGGGACCCTTTGCCATAACAAGCAGAGTATTTGCAGCCTGAAATGGTCCACAAACAACAAGCTGCTGGCAAGTGGGTCCAGTGATGGTCTATTGAATATCTGGCCTAATGACCCCGGTGCAACAGTGCATTGCAAGCCATTGAAAGCCATACCCCATGCCTCAGCAGTAAAGGTACAAAGGAAAACTGCTCTATTATTTTATTTCACATATAGTACATTTAACAGAGAGAATAGATATTTTTCTAAACATATTTCCATGCAGTATTATTGCTGATGCAGTAAAACTATGACCTGAATAAAAGGCTGTCAAGATAAAATAGTGTAGCCTTTTATTTTATTTAAAGTGAATTTTGTAATGTGGTATTATACCACCGTGGGTTTCAAGCTTAACAGAAAGAAAAGGAGTACTTGTGGCACCTTAGAGACTAACCAATTTATTTGAGCATAAGCTTTCGTGAACTACAGCTCACTTCATCGGATGCATACTGTGGAAAGTGTAGAAGATCTTTTTATACACACAAAGCATGAAAAAATACCTCCCCCCCACCCCACTCTCCTGCTGGTAGTAGCTTATCTAAAGTGATCACTCTCCTTACAATGTGTATGATAATCAAGGTGGGCCATTTCCAGCACAAATCCAGGGTTTAACAAGAACGTCTGAGGAAGGAGGGGCGGGGTTGGAAAACAAGGGGAAATAGGTTACCTTGCATAATGACTTAGCCACTCCCAGTCTCTATTCAAGCCTAAGTTAATTGTATCCAATTTGCAAATGAATTCCAATTCAGCAGTCTCTTGCTGGAGTCTGGATTTGACCAGTCGGAGAACACTTCAATCTCTCTGGTCACGCGATTACAGACATGAAAGTTGCGATATTACAACAGAAAAACTTTAAATCCAGACTCCAGTGAGAGACTGCTGAATTGGAATTCATTTGCAAATTGGATACAATTAACTTAGGCTTGAATAGAGACTGGGAGTGGCTAAGTCATTATGCAAGGTAACCTATTTCCCCTTGTTTTCCAACTCCCCCCCCCCTCCTTCCTCAGACGTTCTTGTTAAACCCTGGATTTGTGCTGGAAATGGCCCACCTTGATTATCATACACATTGTAAGGAGAGTGGTCACTTTAGATAAGCTATTACCAGCAGGAGAGTGGGTTTGTGTGTGTCTGTGGTGGGGGGGGGAGGGTGAGAAAACCTGGATTTGTGCTGGAAATGGCCCAACTTGATTATCATACACATTGTAAGGAGAGTGATCACTTTAGATAAGCTATTACCAGCAGGAGAGTGGGGTGGGGGGAGGTATTTTTTCATGCTTTGTGTGTATAAAAAGATCTTCTACACTTTCCACAGTATGTATCCGATGAAGTGAGCTGTAGCTCACGAAAGCTTATGCTCAAATAAATTGGTTAGTCTCTAAGGTGCCACAAGTACTCCTTTTCTTTTTGCGAATACAGACTAACACAGCTGTTACTCTGAAGCTTAGCAGAGTGAAAGTCACCTCTGCTACTTGCTTTAGATTTAGAGTGTCTAGGAACACATAAAGACTAAAGGTAGTGACCACACAGACATTCAAAAGTACAAGGGCTAGTCTCTTTTACAAGTTTTATTAAAGTTACAATTAAAGTTATGATTGTCCAAACATATAGAAATTTTATACAGACCTATGCACAAGTCACAAATGTAGTTATACTCGCATCCTTAACAATCGTGTTTAGGGTCAAGGGGTTTCTCATGAATTGCTCATCAGCAGAGGGATGGTTCCTGCTGGAGTTTCCCATAGGGAGCTCAATTTTCCCGCTCTGGGCACCCTCTTCTTATAATGTAATTCCGTAGCGCACTCTGCGGTTGGGGCATGTGTTAGAAAAATGTGCTTACTGGGTATCTTATAAGCAAAAATTACTCTTACGTTAATTTCACCCATTGGTACATCTTTTCCCATAATCTTAGGGCATCGGGTTAACATTTCTTATCTCTATGGCCTAGCATGGCTAAGCTAAAATCTTACAGTCCTGAGCCTGTAGGCCTTGTGTTTCAGCCCTAATTACATAGATATCTAATGCATGATTGTTCCTTCTAACTACTGATCAATTTTATACTTCTATAATCCTACAACTTACTCTATTTAATATACAAAGATTATATATGACATAACTTGTTAGTTAATCCTGGTCACACAATAAATGAACAATAAACTAAAATCATTGGCTACAATACTACTTCTTCCATTGCTGTACATGGACTTTTAAACTTTTAGGGTTGCCCAATAGTCCTGCTTAAGTTCTGCTACCCAGAATGCACTAAAGTTAATTTCAGACACCAGTTCCCCTAATGAATCATTCTAGACCACAAGTAAGTTATTAGCAGTTTTTGCTGGTGCTATGGTTTCTCAGATGTTTCCCCCCCACCCCTTCCATTTAGGAGCTATTTTAACTATGATGCCAAATAAAAATAAAATGTACAGAAACAAAAACAGTAGCTCAGGATCAGAGGACTAATACAAAAACGTTCTGCCACTTCTAGAAGAGAAGCATTAGAATAAAATTGTAGCTATTCTCCTGGAATTTTTAAAAAACAAGGTGTTTTCCTCCCCCTCATAACCTTGCTTTCCTTCCTGGGTGTAACATCTGGTGACAATGGTTATGATGGGATGCGTAATGAGGGGAAGCACTAGATGATTGAAAGTGTGGGGCCTAGATTTTTATGGGCTCCTTAATCTTTAAAATACCTGAATCTGTGGAAGAGTAGAGACAGCAGAAAGCAGCAATAGGAGTTGGGGGAACCCAGGTTTTATGGGCTGTGCATCCCTGAAAATAGTTTGAAACTGCAATGGAACAGCAGCAGTAAAAGGTACTGGCAAGCAGCTGAAAATTGGTGGTATAATTGGTGTGTTTTATTGGCACTCCACCAGGTATAGTCTGCAACTCAGGAGTAGGCAAGAAGCAGTTTGAAGAAGTCCTAGAAGCCTGGAAGCATACAGGTCATAAAGAGTGAGGTGCTGCTGCAGTCCTGTCTGGCCTTAAAATCTATGGATATATGAAACACAATGTATAAGCAACAGCCGGAGCCAAGGGAACCTGAATTTATTGGCTTACATGGAAGTAGTGAGGCCACAGTGAAGCATTGGCAATGGGGGCCTGAAGCAGTGGCTGGAGCTGAGGGACCCTACATTTGTGGTTTCCCTGGAAGAAGTCTGGGCTGAGTTAGGTGTATATGCATTGGGATGGGGAGCAGAAGCACCTCGAGTTCTGACCCAGGTGTGTTCTGAGTGACTGTGCTTCATTTCTCCAATCCATTTTATAGGCAGAATCAGTTACATTCCCCATTTCCCCTCTTCCAGCTAACCATCTTTTAATCCAGCATCTTATCTATTTACTTTCCTTTAGGCTATGAACTGGTGTCCATGGCAGTCAGAAATCCTTGCCACAGGAGGTGGAATGAAGGATGGATTTTTACGTGTCTGGGACATAAACACTGGGAAAATCATTGAAACCACAGACACAAAATCGCAGGTGAACACATAAAATGTCTTCAAACTTAAGCTCTGTGAGCTGCACTCTCCTCGTACAGCTATATTCTTCAGGCAAAATCCCATTGACTTCAATGGGAGTTCTGTGTACAGAGTGGCTGCAGGGTTCTGTCTGTCTGTCTATGCATTTCTACTACACTCAGTGCTGTGTTATCTCGTTGTGCTCAGGATCAGTTCATTCATGTGCCAGTCATCACCACCCCTGTTTCCTCACAACTTTTAATTTGGTCGGAGAGGAGGTAACAGGGAAGTGGTCTCATAGCAGAGCCATGTGCTATCCATCAACCCTGGTATTGACCAAATGCCTAACGAGGAGAGGAAGATGTGAGAGAAGCAAGTTTCTCAGGAAGCATGAGAGCACTAGAGCGGGGAGAGGCATGAGGAGTCAGAGAACAACAATCAGTCTCTGTAGGTTGAATATGAGGAGACAGTGGTCCAGATTCTCAAGTGTTGTAAATTGTCATGGCCCCATTGATTTCCCTGGAGCTATACTGATTTCCATGAGCTGAGGCTCTGGCTGAGGATTTTGTTTTTAGATCTGGCAGGATGTCACCCTTTTTAGAAAGGATGATAATGTAGCTGCACTCAGTAACAGTCGCTATAGAGGGAAAACAAATAATCCTTCCATGAATATATAACTATTTTTCTGTTGTTGCTCAGGAACTTGTACATTTTGAGCATTTACTAAGAACATTGTCAGTCTAAAAACAGTTGAATGGTACATGTAGATCTTTTAAAAAATTTAAATGATTTTTTAAACTACACTAGATTTGCTCCCTGTTCTGGTTACCCAAAACCAATGAATTAATGACTGGACAAGGCCTTCCTAAAAATCAGATGAAAATATGGAAGTATCCCACACTTACAAATTCAGCTGATCTCTATGGTAAGTATTTCAGTAAACCAGTTTTTATCTCTCTAGTTGCACTTTCTCTCTCTCTCTCTCTCTCTCTCTCTCTCTCTCTCTCTGTAATCTATGCATTTACACACACACACACACATAATTAAATGAGAGATGGCCAGCCCTCTGTGGAGATAGAGGTGGTTAGGGACTATTTAAAAAAGCTGGATGTGCACAAGTCCATGGGGCCGGACGAGTTGCATCCGAGAGTGCTGAAGGAATTGGCGGCTGTGATTGCAGAGCCATTGGCCATTATCTTTGAAAACTCGTGGCGAACCGGGGAAGTCCCGGATGACTGGAAAAAGGCTAATGTAGTGCCAATCTTTAAAAAAGGGAAGAAGGAGGATCCTGGGAACTACAGGCCAGTCAGCCTCACCTCAGTCCCTGGAAAAATCATGGAGCAGGTCCTCAACGAATCAATCCTGAAGCACTTGCATGAGAGGAAGGTGATCAGGAACAGCCAGCATGGATTCACCAAGGGAAGGTCATGCCTGACTAATCTAATCGCCTTTTATGATGAGATTACTGGTTCTGTGGATGAAGGGAAAGCAGTGGATGTATTGTTTCTTGACTTTAGCAAAGCTTTTGACACGGTCTCCCACAGTATTCTTGTCAGCAAGTTAAGGAAGTATGGGCTGGATGAATGCACTATAAGGTAGGTAGAAAGCTGGCTAGATTGTCGGGCTCAACGGGTAGTGATCAATGGCTCCATGTCTAGTTGGCAGCCGGTATCAAGTGGAGTGCCCCAAGGGTTGGTCCTGGGGCCGGTTTTGTTCAATATCTTCATAAATGATCTGGAGGATGGTGTGGATTGCACTCTCAGCAAATTTGCGGATGATACTAAACTGGGAGGAGTGATAGATACGCTGGAGGGGAGGGATAGGATACAGAAGGACCTAGACAAATTGGAGGATTGGGCCAAAAGAAATCTGATGAGGTTCAATAAGGATAAGTGCAGGGTCCTGCACTTAGGATGGAAGAATCCAATGCACCGCTACAGACTAGGGACCGAATGGCTAGGCAGCAGTTCTGCGGAAAAGGACCTAGGGGTGACAGTGGACGAGAAGCTGGATATGAGTCAGCAGTGTGCCCTTGTTGCCAAGAAGGCCAATGGCATTTTGGGATGTATAAGTAGGGGCATAGCGAGCAGATCGAGGGACGTGATCGTTCCCCTCTATTCGACATTGGTGAGGCCTCATCTGGAGTACTGTGTCCAGTTTTGGGCCCCACACTACAAGAAGGATGTGGATAAATTGGAGAGAGTCCAGCGAAGGGCTACAAAAATGATTAGGGGTCTAGAACACATGACTTATGAGGAGAGGCTGAGGGAGCTGGGATTGTTTAGCCTGCAGAAGAGAAGAATGAGGGGGGATTTGATAGCTGCTTTCACCTACCTGAAAGGGGGTTCCAAAGAGGATGGCTCTAGACTGTTCTCAATGGTAGCAGATGACAGAACGAGGAGTAATGGTCACAAGTTGCAGTGGGGGAGGTTTAGATTGGATATTAGGAAAAACTTTTTCACTAAGAGGGTGGTGAAACACTGGAATGCGTTACCTAGGGAGGTGGTAGAATCTCCTTCCTTAGAGGTTTTTAAGGTCAGGCTTGACAAAGCCCTGGCTGGGATGATTTAACTGGGAATTGGTCCTGCTTCGAGCAGGGGGTTGGACTAGATGACCTTCAGGGGTCCCTTCCAACCCTGATATTCTATGATTCTATGATTCTATGAAATAAAACAAGCTAAAAAGCAGCCTTTTCAGTCACACACACATACAGGTGTGATTGAATATACTTTGACTATTTTATATTGAATATACACAAACTCGGTGTGCTCATGAATGAATATCTATATACAATATATATATATATATACATACTATATATGTGCATCTAATTATCTATCCATGTGCACACATGCACACACAATGGATGTCTATGTATGTGATTGGAAAGGCTGTGATTTAGCTTATTTAACTTAACAATGAACTACCTCTATAAAAATACTTTTTTGGCAATGGGATTCCTTTACATCAGCATATATTATGCCGGAGGCCATTTAAGACCCAGTCTGAAGGTACCCACCATTTCTCCCTCTTCTGTAGGTCCCACAGTCCAATTTCACTGAGCATGGAGGACTGGATAGAACTCTTGTTTCATCTCTGTCGCTCAAAAATTAGCTGACATGGACACTACAAAGCTTTCCAAGACTTATCCCTTCTTCCTTCCGTGGGGTTGAGTGAACTAATGCAGGACTGTTCCCATCCTGTTCTGGCCTGGAAGACATAGTCCACAAGCTGACTGTGGATATTGAGTCTAGCAGCTCAGAATGCTACCTATAGAACACTAGGCCAGCAGCTGCTTCCAAAATAACTTTTGAAATAATTCTTTCCACAGGTCTATTTGCTAATTAGCTTTTTGTTTGTTTTAATGAATGACTTTGACCTAATAGTGCAAAGGAATGTGTGTCATGTACCATAGTGACAGCTAGAATGAGTGTGTTTTCCTTTCTGCTATGTGAACGGTGTTTCATGAGGCTGTGGTGCAGCAATACGTCCCATTAGAGTCTTTTCTTGCAATTTGTGCTTCTTTTAGCTGTCACTCCCATATGTTAAGTTACAGATCATCACTTGTTTCGGCATAATCTGAAACAATTCAGCACAGGCATCCAAAATTAAATTAAAACACATGTCCAGTTTATGTACAAAAACGCACACAGATTTGTATACCTAAGTGTGTAAGCATTTACTGCAGTTCCATTTGTGTGTCAAGTATTTGCATGCTCAATGGCAAGTTATCGCTAACATGGTTTTCTTTTTTTTGTATAATAAGAGTGTCTGTTCATTTAAAAATACTTTTTCTGGCACATTTTGGGTGCACTTTTGTGCAGTCTTTAATCACTGATACACACTGGCTGGCTTTCTTACCACTCTATGCCTTTCTACCATGGTACTGATAGTAAATCTGAATCCATTTTCATCCATTAGGGTTGCACTGGGTGAAATTCAATCCTGAGGTGAAATGCATCCCCATGCAGCATCCGCATAAAGCCTGTTGAACACCTAGATCCCTCTTTATTTTGAGGGGTTAAGAGGAACGATTATGGTGTATACTCCACAGAGTCTCTGTGGGGGTCCAGCCAAGCAAGTGGCTGCAAAAATACATTCCTATGCGTCTCTTGTGTGCCAGCAACTTGGTTCCAACACCAGCCTATGGGGGACTGGCATCAGTGGTCAGATTGAGGGTAAAATGGGGGAGGGAACTGATGCATACTTATACATATGTTATGGCCACAGTATTCTTGTGCAGTTGGCAGAGAAGGCTGAAGAATGACTTGTTATATTTGTGGCACTATCGGTTTAAACTTTTGCTTTACATTCAGTCGGTAAGTACAATCTGAGACTTTTCATGTGTTTGAATAGCATATGTTTAAAAAGCCTGAATGCATATGGAAATTAAACCTGCTTTTGCTTTAACTTTTGATAAAAACTCAGCTCTCATGCTTACATATGAAACACTCAGCACACAAGTGACATTTGCTACAGCAGCACAGTCACCCGGGGTCACTCCATTTCCTCTTGAGTTTTACCTCTTCACAATGGAAACTAATTTTCTTAACTGTGAAGACCAGATAATTATGAACCAGAAGAAGTTTCTACTGAAGGGGACTCTGCCCTGTTATAAGCATATGGAGTTAAGAGAGAAAATTGATTATATATATATATATTATCCAAGAAACCCTTAGTCACACGAGTTTCACAAGAAAGAAAGTAACAGATGAGTCATTATTGGGTTTCAGTTTTTAGAGGCTGGATGGTGCTGAGCACCTCACTTGATGGGCTGAGATTCCGCAGCTACCGTTGAATTCAGTCGGAGTTGAGGTTGCTCATACCCTGCAGGTTCATAATACACCAGTGGAATAGAACCATCTTTTTAAAAACATTGAATCCATTCTTTGGGTATTTCTGGTAAGTCTCTGACTCTTTTCCTTCTGTGTTTATTATAGCTGCCCAGAGGAGACTGTGTTAAGAATTCTTTGCAATGCAGACTCATTCCCACTCACATGCACTCAGCATAGGACTGCCCATCCTGCACTCTTGCTCAATGATCCAGTAAGGAAGCAAAGCCTGAAAACTAATCCATAGTGGAAATAAATTAGTGACAGTCGCACTTTAATATTAAGCCTTGGGCAAAATTCCAGCCTAAGGGCACTACTACAATTAAACACCTGCGGCTGGCCTGTGTCAGCTGATTTGGTCTCACGGGCCGCAGCTAAGGAGTTGTTTGATTGTAGTGTGGACGTTGGGGCTTGGGCTGGAGGACTGAGCTCTGGGACCCTCCCGTCTTGTGGGGTTCCAGAACCTGGGCTCCGGCCTGTGTAATTAAACAGTCCCTTAGCCCGAGCCCTGAGTCAGCTGACACGGGCCAGCCACAGGTTTTCAGCTGCAGTGTAGACATACCCTTAGAGTCTCTGCCAAGTGACATCAGCATCAGTACTGCTCTAATTTGCTCTAAGTCAACATAGCCACAAGGGGCCATTCCAGCAGCCTGGCAGTACTAGGCCACTCTATCTAAGGGACTCGTATGGCCCTCGTTGCCATCTGAGCATCTCATCTTTTTAATGTATTTATCCATACAACATCCCTGTGAGGTAGGGAAGTGTTGTTATTCCCATATTACAGATGGAGACTGAAGCACAGAGAGGTTAAGCAAGTTGCTCAATGTCACACAGGAAGTCTATGGCAGACCAGGGAACTGAACCAACTCTCCTTAATCCCAGTATAATACTTGTCCATCTTTCCGCTATGGCTCTGTCTGAATTTTCTCAGCTATGCCTGCATGCTGGGGGAATCCTTACATAACCAGGTAAGCCAGTTTTGCAGCTTTGTGCTGGTGGAGTGGGGCAAAGTAGCCACAGCAGCCAGCCAGAATCTTGTCCCTAATTTTTTCTATAACCATGGGTGCACTCAACATACAACTCCAATAAATTATTGTGTAGGAGCTTTTTCAAGAGGGCTTTATAGTGCAAATAACTCAGAAGTTGGAGACACTATCTCATAACTGCTGAATCAGTGGCAAAGTGTCTGAGAAGCATGTGCAGCCACAGGAGAAAGATCAGTAGTGAGGCACATTACCAGTCATAGATTAGACACATATTTTGACTGCAGTGGAGAATCAAGAGTTCAGGTTTAAAACTAAGTGGCATAATATTCTCCTTTGAGAGAAAAGCCTTGTGGAGCTTTTGTAAAGTCCTAATAGTTCAAATGTGACCCCAATAAGAGGAAAATTTTGCTTTCAGCTTTTTCTTAGTGTAAAACTGCTGTAAATCTTAGGCTTGCTCAAACCAAACAGCACATCCTATGCAACATGTTGTGCAGCTGTAGTTATAGTAAACAAGCCTTACCACGGGTGGGCAATTTTCAAAATGGCAAAGAGTTCTCATTTTAAAATCATGACATCTCCCTGATCTCTGTTATAAATATTGTGGTTTTGTTTTGTAGGTCATAAAGGAAGAGTCTTGCATGTAGCACTGAGCCCAGATCATAGCAGGATCTTTTCTCTTGCGGCTGATGGAATGGCTTGTGTGTGGAAATACTGCTAATCTGGCGAAAGCAAGGACTTTCAGGAGGATTATTCTAGTTAGTTGTGGCAACTTTTTTCCATTGACTTTTGAAAATGAGCAGTTAAAGGTTTTTGGCAATGACAGTAATATAACAAATCTGCATTCTTTCCAAATGAAACATGGAATAAAGATAACACCTTTGTTCAAGAGAAAGCACTCTTCTAGTTAGTTCATTATCACATGGAACGTGCTTGAGCCCAAACTGCCCATGCTTTAGATGAAAAACTTTCTAACTCTGATTAATAATATCACATTTGTTTTCCTTAAACCCATAACACATGCACAGAGAGCCAGCACGAGGACTATGCACCAATTAAGTCTCACTTAATGCCTGTTTTGAGCCATAGGCCTAATGAAAAGTTCTATATTGGCCTATTCTCAGGAGTACAGTCCATTAGGGTATGTCTACACAGCCCACAGAAGCAAGCCTCTCAGCCTGGGTTGACAGACTTGGGTTAGCAGGGTTTGTGCTAGCACAATAAAAATAGCTGTGTAAACAGTACTTTGAAGTTGGAGCTCAGATTCTGAAACCTAGGGAGGCTTTTATTAAACCCCGCCCCCCTGTATTTCAAAAAGTTTTTAACATCTAAAATAATAAATGCATAATAATCATAATTATATGGTCTTTTTGTAACTTACTAGTCAGTTACTTGTCTATGTCCAGGAAACAGAGTCTGTGAGTCTGTGTGGCTTTTGGCTTAAGCTGTGGTGACTTACGTCTTTTGTTTTAGAGGTCACCAGTTTAGAGGTCACCCTGCATTAGCAAAGATTATAGCTATCATAGTTACATAGTTTCATACTTGCTGGGGCAAACTCTCTTTGATTTTTTAGTAAGACTTTGCCTGAATAAGGACTGAATACTGACATAAGCTAAATAAGGACTGCAGGATTTGGCCCAGTGATCAGCAAGCTCTCATTCAAAGCATTTTAAAGCCTTTGCAACTCCATGGATGTCTCTGACGTTCTCCTTCCACCATCTGAAAGCAGGAGAAGCAATGGACTTGGAATGGGCTAATGAGAGACAAGAGAGAAGGAAAGGCTTGCCTCTGTTCCCAAAAAGACCCTTGAAACATTTTTTGTGTGTGAAAAGAGCCCTGTAGGAGTAGAAACTCATGGCCCTTTCTGTCTGAAAAATATTAGAATAGAATAGAATGGTTCCTGTAACTCAGCTGGGGAGGTGGGAGTTGAGATGAGTGATATAAAGTCAGCCCATGGTTTTCAGACAGAAAAATTCAGCTGCGGTGGAATGGGTGACGAAAGGCAGACAATGTTAAGGGGGCTGCAGAGGCATCTGGAAATGAATCTACGATGGTCACATCTTTTATTTTCATCCATAATTTAAAACCACATCTCTGCTGTTTGTAAATCACGTAAGAACTGACTTTAGGGCTGGAGAGCAGACACCACCAGTTGCATTTTCTCAGATGTCACAAGCACATCAAAAGTTGTTCATTTACAAAAAGTGTGATATAGCCCAAAACCTCTGGTTTAGTGGCCACCTATTGTGGTCTTACTTCAAAGCAGGTTGGAAAATAAGAACTCTTTGGTGGTGCACGTAGAAATAACTACAAAAAAGCTGAGGTCTAAGAACAGGAAATTATTAATTCAGAGTTTGTCTTCCAGTATGAACATGGCTATTGCAGCTGATTTTAACAAGCATTTAAAATCTGTGACCAGAATAGTGATTTTTTCCCCCCTCTCAGTTGCAGGAAAAGCAGAGGGAACAGTAAACTGTGAATTTGTTTATTTTCTCCTACTTATTTCTGAGATTTTTTCCCATTTTTCTGTTGGGGAAGTTTGAACATCATAACCTCACCAACTAGATTAGGGGAGATATTTGTTTTGAATCTGATCATACTTTGCTTGATAAATTGGAAGGGGATTCTCAGAAAATACAGTGCTGTGAGGCTGATCCTTTCTCCTTCTTACATTGCAGAGGTCCTTAAAATGTGAAATCTTGATTTATTCTAATTTTTCCATTGGCATTACATTTAATGGTGACGTGGGAACTTGTTTCTCTCCTTGGGCTGTCAGAGTTAGTATTTGTTAAGCTTCTGAGCACACAGCAAAGCCCATCTTTTTTCTCTCTTTGCTAAGACTGTTGAGAATGAAGTAGATTGAGATGGATATATTTATGGGCAGTCCTTTTTCTATGTGTATGTTGTGTCTTTTCATTTCTAGTATCGGTACCCAGAACACTGGATGGGTACCTAGAGACGTATTTAAATAAATAATTAGATTAAATTAAATTAAATTAATGCACTAATGAATGCATCCATCTTAAGTATTCATGTATTAAAAACACAATAAAAAGACTGTGGAATGTTTTTGTTGTTACTGCCTTTTGTGACATGGATGTGATGTAATTTAGCACTTCTGCCATAGATGGAACACTGTAGAATGAGTATCAGAACAAAGAACTGCACAAAAATTATGTCTACAAATAGCAGTCTCTTGAACTTTTGAATAATCTGTTCAAGGATTGCATCCTCCTGGATTCTCTAGAATATAACAAGGTTGTTCTCAGAGTGCTGCATAACTGAAGAGATTAGAAAATTTAGATCCATGGAGCTCTTCGATTAGCTTACAGTATAACCTACTGAAATGTTCACGAAAGAACAGACATGGGGCTTGCTTGCTTAAATTCATCACCTTATCTTACATGCATCAGGCCTTCACTGCTACAGGATGGTCTGCTGTGATGATTCAATGATTAAATGATTATGCCTGTTCATTTCTCACTGGCTACCTCATTAGCCTGTAGTAAGTGGAAATCATTGCATTCTAGATGGCAACATGTCATTAGCTAATCATGGATTTCAGAGTAGCAGCTGTGTTAGTCTGTATTCTCAAAAAGAAAAGGAGTACTTGTGGCACCTTAGAGACTAACCAATTTATTTGAGCATAAGCTTTCGTGAGCTGTAGCTCAAATAAATTTGTTAGCTAATCATGGTCACTCTTCCCTATCTATCCAATAAACTTTTATTGGCCATTGCCTAGAGGGGGAGATCTGATCGGAATGGGTGCTGTTTTCTTGATCTGAAGATCTTTCCAGTTTAGGTGAGAGGGCATTTCAGTATCCAGGCTCACTAGTGTCTTTGCTGTAAATGCCAACAAGTTTAAACAGCGACAGAGGTATTTAGGTTATTTTTACTATGTGAATCCTGAGCCACTAGGAATGATGCTGAGTCCAACTGATCTTACAGAAGCCATCAAACAACATTCAGGTAAAATAATTGCTATTCACCAGAATCAAACTGGGGAAGATTCAAGACATTTCCCTAGAGAAGGAAGGCTTCATATTTTGTGCATGCTTATCACATGTCTTCTAGCCCAGCACGTCTCTTAGACCTTTACTATGCCAGACCCCCTCTTTCCTAGTCTCCTGGGTTCTGTTGTGCTAGGAGGACCATGAACTAGGGTGACCAGACAGCAAATGTGAAAAATCGGGACTGGGGTGGGGGGTAATAGGAGCCTATATAAGAAAAAGACCCCAAAATTGGGACTGTCCCTATAAAATCGGGACATCTGGTCACCTTACCATGAACTTTATCTGACTGTGAAATGGAGAAAGGATGAATCTTTGGTTTTGAGCAAATTGTTGTTTTTAATTGACAAGTATGGTGTCTCTAACATCCAAAATGAAGGTAAAGAGAAGGAGCAGATTAGAAGAAAAGAAGAATGAGAAAATGCTACAATAAGGCGAAAATAAGAAAATGACAACAAAACAAAGAGTGGACAGAAAGAACAGAGAGTGAATTAAAGGGAGTTTGTGGGGAGAGAGAAACACAAGATAGAAACAGTCCCAAATGGCAAGTGTCTTTGAATATCAACTACATATTTTCCTTTACATTTTTTACTTTAAAAATCTTTATATCTTTTTCTCTCTACTTGGATTTTTAGAATCATTTCCCCACTAACCACCGGCTTTGTGCTGGTAAGAGAAAAAGAAATTGTTCAGACTTTTATTTAATAGAGTACGATTAATTTTATTCCCTCTGTTTAGGCAGAATATTTTGGGTGTAAATTCCAGTCACTGGGCCAAATTCAGCTCTCAGATACATTGGTGTAATCCCATTTGGCCTGGTATCCTTCTATCCTCCCTTATTTACCCACTATGTGTGTATGTGGTTCTTTTTACAGAAGAATAAGTTAAATAAGTAATAGCAGGAAATATGATTCCTAACTGAAAGCAGTGGTTAAGCACTGGAATAAATTGTCTAGGGAGGTTGTGGAATCGGAGGTTGTGGAATCTCCATCATTGGGGATTTTTAAGAGCAGGTTGGACAAACACCTGTCAGGGATGGTCTAGATAATACTTCGTCCTGCCTTGAGTGTAGGGGACTGGACTAGATGACCTCTCAAGGTCCCTTCCAGTTCTATGATTCTATGTAAAACTATTTTTAGGAGGAAAAATACTAAATACTGCAAGTACTGACTTGGTGCAATAGAAACACTCATGAAATATTGAACAGAGATTTTTGTATTTGGAACTTTTAGTAAGAAACTTAGTTTCGGCCCCAGGAATTTAAAGTTCTCTGTCTTCCCTACCCACATCAGATGCTATTGGTATGACAACATGCTTTTTTTTTTTTTAACTCCAGCAATATGTCAGCTGATGCTATATGCATGGCTGGTTTTAGTCTCTGTTTTGCTATGTTGTGTATCATCTTCAATGTTTAATGGCTCATAAAGAATGCAACAAAATGACATTTTAATTAAAATCATATGCAATATATCTCCACCCATTAAATATTCTTTTCCCTCTCATAAATCTGTTAGCTATTTCCTATTGCTGGAGAAAAAACTCTGAAGATATTTATGGAACTGGAAGTGGCTGAGTTTATCAGTATGCACATGACAATACATTGTTTTGGATCACAATCCTGTTGCTGGAAATGTTGGAAAAGTGGTCTGATCATTTCATGGCTAAGATATCACTGAAATCTAGCTAACTACTGACACTGTAGTCATGAAATAGGACTTTTATATTTTACCAGCTAGTATTTATTATAGTAATATTTTATCTAACCAGAGAAATTGTCTATCATTTCACTTGAGGGTTTTATATAGGTGTGACACTCTGTACCTTAAAGTAGCACCCTGGAACCTCCATATTTACCACTGTCATATAATTATGATATGTTTTGTACAAAGTATGCCTTGTGAGGTATCATGTTAAAAGTCTTGATCAGTTGAACATTAATATCATGTTGGATCGTATGTACTGTCATTGTATGTGAACTTATGAGGTATTGCTATATATGTAACTGAAATATGTTGTGAGGTTGGGAACACCCACAACCAGCCTTTCAGTTGCAACAAAGGTGGTCCCATCAAGAAAACAATCCGCTATCCCCGAAGCTCCTTAGAGAAGGCATGTACTCAGTGGAGACGGCTTGACCAATGGGGACTGACTGACCCCCAACGTCACAGCAAGGATCTTTCTAGCAGCTGGAAGAAGGTATGAAAAGAGAGACAGTGACATCATCAATTGGCATCTCTCCCCCACCATCTCAACAGCGGGAAGAACATCTGGAAGAAAAAGATTTTGAACTGGGGAAGAGTGGTCCCAGGCTGGAAGGGTGTCTAGTCTATGTATTGAGGAACTGTAAGCTGCTTGTACCATCTGTTAGGGTGAGACATTGCTTGATTCAAATCTTGCTTAGTCTGTTCAAGTTAGAATTTAGACTGAATTTCTATTTTATTTTTTAGGTAAGCAGCTTTGATCTCTTTGCCTGCTACTTATAATAATTTAAAAGCTATCTTTCTGTAGTTAATAAATCTGTTCATATTTTATCTACAACAGTGTGTTTTGGTTGAAATGCCTGGGGGGAATCTAAGCTCAGGTTAACAAAGGTGATGCATGTCCACTTCTACTTTCCTATGAAGAAATGACGAACTAAGTAATGAACTTACACTGGTCAGGCTTCTGACCAGTGCAAGATGGTACAGTTCTGGGGTGCAAGACTGGACAGCTAGGGGGCATTGGTTGAAGCCTCCCTATCTATGGTTCATGAGTGGCTGGGAGACCATTAATGTAACTCAGTTGGGTGTGTCCCTGCCTCTGGATGTCTGTGTAAGTGCAGTGCCTGTCAGAGGCTTGTAACTTGACATCAGCATCACATATGAGAGGCAGCCCAAGTTGGTGGGTTTGGAGGGCTCAGCAGTCCCACAGTCTAGGTTGCATCCTGCAGACCCTGTCACAATGGAGTTTTCAGCTGAATGTTTAACATAATGTATGTTATAAACAAGTATATACCCTGACTGGTTTGCAAATAGTTTACATGTTCAAAACTGCACATAATATTTTTACTGCAAGAGACAGGGTGTTCCAGATAATTGCATATTTCAAGCCACAGACTTTATTGCCTTTTCTTTATTAAATGCAAAATATTATAATGTAATGAAATGGTTGAAGTTTTGAAATACATAGACGTTAGGAAATTCAAAATCATTAGATTTCACAGTCAAATAAACTTCCCTACAAAGTATGCAGTCTTTGAAACTCCTCAGGCTGCCAGACCTAACAGCCCCCTTCAGAGGGCCTTCAGAAGATGGGGGGTAAAAATAAATCATGGGTTCTTCAGAGGAAGGAGAGGCATCAACAGTATTTCCAGGATTCTGGGGTTATTCCTAGAATCTCAGTGACTCTCCAGGATTTTACGGAAATCCAGATATAGATATGTGTAATTATTCTCAATATTCAATTAGGACCAAATTCTATTAAGTTCAGTGAGAGTCGGATTGGACCTTGAGCTGAAATGCTCATTATCTATACAGAGATCTAGTAAATGTGCTTTGTAAAGGTGAAGTAATACTCCTCTCCTTAGCCACGAAGCACCTGTGTAGCCCCTCTGTGGCTGAGAATACAGGGCATATACTGTTATAGGAGAATGCTATGCTTATGTTGTGCTGGGGTTAAGGTAATTTCTTTGCTGAAATCACATATATGAAATTTGTGCCCCAAAGTGAATTCTGATGGGAAAGTTACAAGCGATTGAAGGGGCTTATAGTGAAATTACCACTTCATGAAGCTATTGCATAATACTCTGATCATACTGACTTCATCATTCAAAAATAAATTTTGTTACAAGTAAATACATATCAGAGCAACAGAAAATCAGTCAGTGATTGACTCAATCTATAAGTCACCCCCTATGGTTTTCTTTATCCAGAGAAGATGCGTCTTCGTAAGACGAGTGTAGACACCAGGGCTTTGAACAGCACCACACTTGTTTTTCTTGCCAAAGGAGGTGATGCCTTTCAATTCACCATTACATATCAAAGGACCACCTGAATCCCCCTAAAGAAG